ATCAAGTGTTCGAGTATCTTGAACAGTGTTCAGCACCAATAATTGACAATTTAGTGTTTGTGCCTTCCATCTTGAAGAAAAGTAAGTTTTTATATTTCTTTAGCGCTTTTCTATTCGTTCTGGTCGCTTTAATGTTCCAATCTGCCATTCCTCTCGAAAAAATTGGTCAGGTAGCCGTGCGGACAGAGTGTCAATATTGATAATCAGCATTCGCTTACCGGTCGTGGGTTCGATTCCCAGCGACTACAGAAATTTTTCTGATGGCCCAAGAAAGTGTTTTGGGATCACACATTAAAAGGTATAAGGGCCTCGTCATTCCTTGCTCGCACAAGTCTCTTGAAGACTTCTGAGGGTTGCTCGTTAGGGGAAGTAACCGAATAATAGATAGAACAATTTTAGATCAATTTTAGAGAACATTATTTATTGTTTTTTCGGAACATAGCATTCATTAGGCCATCGTGATAATTATTTCAAAAAGTTTATGCAACACCCTGTATCTCTGAAACGAATCAAATATCAGTGTTCCATTCCGAAAAAATATAGTGAGGAATCACGATATATAGAAACATCTTGTATAGTTTTTTCCTCAAAGTGTTGCCCTCAAATACCTTACGTTGTGTTTGAGACACCTTATATATTATTTCATATGGACATCATATTAGCTTCCGCATCATATTATTGATTTTATTATTATTTTTACCGAGTGTAACCTGTAGAATATTTCGAAATCAGAACAAACAGAATAAAAGCGATAATATGAGTTGTGGGTATGAACTAGTAATGAGTAGGTATAATCTCAACATACATGAGTGGTCTTAACGTTCCCATCCAACTTCTTATTTATGTTATTCAAACAAAAACAGCTGTTCGGACTCTTATCACGCTGGAAATGAGCCATGCAGATATCATTAACCATAATCTACAACAGGCTAATGCTATTCGATATTGCATTCAGATGTTTTTGCATAGATAAATTTATTATGTTATTGGTATACCGGGCGGCTCAAAACTATAAATGCCTTTAAATTAGCGTGGTTTCGTTATTCAAATGTTTTTCAGCATAGATAATCTACTTTTAAGTTTATGTTGATGGTATACAGTGTGGTTCAAAAACTAGAAAGGCTTTTACACTGTTTTTCGTTTTTCTCTAGAGATTAGCCCTATGTATGATACCGCGAAAAGTGAATGGAAATGGAATCACGTGATTAGATCAAGCTATATTACAAAAATAAATAATGTGAAATTTTAGTCAATCTACACAATGGAAAAAAATGTATTCTTTCATGGATCAAAAGCTGTAAAGGAAATCGGGCAATTACATGTGGAAGATGATGACGTCATGACAGATGTATTGATCGATCAGTGGTATCAAGATCAGAACATATTCTGTTATATATTATATGAGGACGGGTTTCCGACATTTTTTGCCCTGATGTCTAGCATGAACTTTGACCCTTTGGGAAAACATAATAGACCGAAAACTCTAAATTTTATCTATACTATGATGGAGTATCGGAGAAGAGGATTTGCATCTAAACTAATACTACAAATCAAGATCAATTTTCAGCCTTTTGCTTTTGTCTTCAGACATTGGATCTGAGAAATTATTTGAAAAATGTTTGTGTATTAATTATGGTGATATGAATGGTTCTGTGATGTATAGGTATCCATAATGCATATAAAAAAGTTTATTATTTTATTCAAAATTGCAACTAATTCACTATGAGTCGTTATACAGGGTGTTTTTTTAAAATCATGCATATAGTCACATGTTCAATCAACAAATACCTACATAAAGTAAGTGGAGTTGACTAGCCATTGCGTGTTAGTCTCAAATGCTAACAAACACAATAAAAGACGGATACATTTCAATAATTTATTTTAGATATTATATCAGCATTTTCAAGTTCGATGAGAATAAGGTTGATTTCTTCATTGTTTTGTGAGTCATTATATTTCATTAAATATCTCAGTCTATCTACCAAGACATTCGGATCTGTCCATCCATCTAAAATATTGAACTCGTCATTCCCACAACTGGCTCCACCCAGCAAACATGATTTTTGCGGCCCTCTAAAGGTACAATGAAACTTGCCGGCGAGCGGTAACAGCGGTCCTCTATTGTACAACTAAATTGGGCCGGCTAGCCCGTGTCCCGGCGGCCGACAGCCGACCGCCTCTCTAGAGCCATCAGTATGCCGCTTATTACATTGCAGGGCTTCTGGTGGGCAGAAGCAAGTACTCAAATGTACTGCATTCATGGCATATCTTAGGCCCGATTGAGACTTTTCAGAGACTGCCATTAATTGGCCGCTTGAGTATTTTTATTCCCCCGATAGAGGAGTTTTTCAGGGCCGTTGGTTAACGATGTTGAATGAATTCAATATTCTTGGTATTCTGTTTTTTGATGTTCCATTTTTCAACTAGGTTTGTCAAAAAATATACAGGGTAATGCATATATCTCAGTGAAAATAGGTTTTTTGATAGGTATCCCAGTTTATATCACCACTTATTGGAAAGCAACGTACCCTATTTTCACTCAGATTTGCATCACTCTCTTTATTTTCAAACTGGTTGAAAGAGTGGAACTTCAATAAACAGAATTGAGGTCTCCGAGTTTTTTGTGAATGCTCTGGGTATAACAGAAATGTGGAATTCACTCCTTACCTGAAGTTGTTGAATAATTACATAAAATCTCTGAGATGGCATCCTGATATCACAGTTATTTCCAGTAACTAGCAGTATAAATACCCCATACAAAAACAAGAACCGAAAATATCCATGTGTGTATAATATATTATTGGCATGATCACAACCAATACATATCATAACAAACTATGGAAACATCAAACATCTTAATTTTAGTTCTACGTATCACTCTGTATAATCATTATGAAAAGGTACCTACAATTTCCAATAATATACAGGGTGTTCCTAAACATCATGTACATCCGAAAGGGGGTAATTCCTCAGCTCATTTTAAGACTAAAAGTTCATATAAACATTGGTCCGCAAACGCTTTGTTACCGATCTACGGGGTGTTGAAATTTCAAGATTTTTTTTGTTTTTTCTTTATAGATCCTGCAGTTTTTGAGATATGTGGCTCAAATTTGAAACATAGATTATGTTATAGGGCTTACATCGATGGACATCTCAAATGTTTGTGAGAATCTATAAAAAAATTGAAATTTCAACACCCCGTAGATCGGTAACGAAGCGTTTTCGGACCTGAGTTTATATGAACTTTTAGTCTTAAAATGGTCTGAGGAATTACCTCCTTTCGGATGTACATGATGTTTAGGAACACCCTGTATATTTGTGTTTCATCATGCATGATAGATATTTGTTTTTCCACTTGTTTCAAAAAGTTGCTAACTCTAGGTCAAAAATTACATCATTTATGTACCTAACAAATAACTTGAAAGTTATGTAGGTAATCAGTTATTATATTGATAAGTTATTGTCAACAATAGAGTTCAATCCACAAGAAAACAATTCCCAGATATGGAGAACCTTACTCTTCATCATATTGATATGAGTGTTGCCTGGAAGTGAGATATCATTTATATCATGAAGAAATTTATATCATAGTCTGGATCATTGTGTGATTTCTTCATTAATATCTGTGATTGATGGGCTTCTGGTTGTTGATTTTGTAGCTGAAAGATTGAATGATTTCATTCTCTACTAATCCAAAACATGCAACATTATACATACCTACAGTAATTCTTGAAATATAACTGTTTCTTCAAGTAGGTACTCTTCGATTTTCGTTTCGAAAATAGATTTATCTTCAAAGTCCTCATATATTATTATATTCTTGTGTATCCGCTGAACATGTCCAAACTATCATTGCATCTGTTTGTCCAATGGTGTTTGTAAAATTATTGTCTAAAATTGGAGAATTTTAGCTGTGCAAGTTTGTATATATGTTTGTTCCTCACTCACTCTGTATTTATTTCAATGCCCTTCCATTTTGTATAAAAATCCACTAGAAAACCAAACACGAACTGAACACAGTACTAAAATCTCTGTTTAGAGTGTTGAAACAACATAAACAAAGAAATTAATATACGCCATACTGAATCATTGTTACCACTGCAAAATGATCAAAATGAAAACTCACGCGAGCGAGGGATGCCAACGTTGAGTGAGTGATGATGGCACACTCCGTTGAAATTTTGATGGCCCTTGGACTTGTATACATACAGCGGAAGACTAGCGGCTGGGAAACAGAGGCCCATCATAACTATGTGTACATTCTGCCTTCGTCATATAATCCTTCGAAATTATATGGAGGGCCTTTCGAGGCATGCCGACATCGACATTTGCCCGCCGTTCTCGCCATGGGCCCGGCTTTCTACCGCCTGTCGATGTTTGCTGGGCAGGTTCCACTCTCGACTTTAAGCGTTTACACTGGGTCTTATTTTTGAAGAGTGGTTTGATAACTTTATTGAATTTCTTCTTATCTGCTTGTCCTCGTAATCGGCCTAATCGATCTCTATGAATAGCGCTGATTTCCAGTATCTGTTTATACATCTGGTGATCCAAAGGCGTGTAATTTTGAGGGTTCTTGGAAGATAATAATTCCAAAAGACCTAGAGTACTTTTAGAATCGACATTATCTACGACTATGTGTTGGCCCTCAAAGCGTAGATTCTTATATCCAAGTGTCTATCTGCCGTCAACATATTTCGGTCCATAAGCATTATCATAATCTGCACAGTAATATTCATCTAATGCTTGCTCTGATGAATGGGGCTACATGATGTGGACGCTATGGTGTCTGATATACAACTGAAGACTTTTGAATACATCTGAATACTCTTGAATACCTCTGAAGACATCTGAATACCTCTGAAGGCGTGATCTGAAGACCTCTGAATAACTCTGAAGACATCTGAAGGCGTGATCTGTAGGCATCTGTAGGCATCTGTACTCCCGTACAATCGTTAAACATAGTAACTCGGGTTACTTGAAAATTGAGTTTTTTTGCCCATATGTCTCTTCTGATGAGCCCAATTTGGTATGTAGTAAAAAAACTGAAGTCATAACACTGGTTACTGAAATATCAGCTCTTCGATTTCAGTAAGTTTACTTACTGAATTTTCCGATCCAGCATGTGGAGTTACTGCCTCTTTTCTTCAATGCATTTCACAAATATTGTCAATTACTAACATAAAAATAAGCAAATAATCTTACTTGTAATGTTTGCGCGCATTTCCAAGTCAAGAACATAGTAAGTCGAGTCACGATATAGATGTTCACCAGAATTCAATAATTGAAACAAGTAAGTTGAGTTGCTTCATTTGAAATCTGCAATTTACTTGAAAAGGCATTATAACCTGTCTCAGATTCGTCGAATATCTTCAAAATGCAATTAACGAAAATAGTGACTCTAGTTGAAGTGCGATCTCCTGATTGGAAGCCAGGAAAAAGGTGGGGTAACAAAACATACCTTTCTTGTTCTGACATGCAAGAACGTGAGTTAGTAGAGTCGTGACTCCCTTCATTCGAATACAGACTGAACGTCTTAAGTTTCGTAATCTGAAGCAAGGAGCTAGCAGGCTTGAGCACTAAACTAACCATCTTTTTGTATTATGGACACGAAAAAAGTGACGACTATTAGTCGTGGTAGACATGTTTTGAATATGGCTTTGCAAAAGTATGTATACCAGTAGATAGTTGAATAATTCAGTAGTAGTGATGACGAAGTTTCATTAGCTTGAATAATTCGAATTCTTTCTATCGAAGTATGTTTTCAACTTTTACTGCTATAAGCACAATGTGTTTGAGATATTTCGTTCATGAATAGATGGAAAAGTTACTTCAACATCCTACTTTTCATTGAACTATTGCTTCTAGAAGTATTTTTTCGATGGATATATTCATTGATTATTCGTTATTAGAAGTGGAGTAGAAGAAGAAATGTTCAAGTACCTACCCATTCAGATGAAATCATTTATAATATGCATGATTTAGAAAAAAATTTAAATGTCAACTCTTGCTTGAGAGTATGTCATTACATATTATGAAGTATGTAATATGATGTGAATAATAGTCGTCGAAAGTTATCGATGAAGGCATTCCAAACAGACGTATGATAACGTCCACGATTCTTTTGACATCTGATGTGAACAAAATCCTGAAGGAGAATGGTAATTCTTCATTCCAGATTACGATTTCATATTCTTCCAATACCTATAGGGTTTCAATATAAATATTATCCAATATTCGGCGTGGCATTGGCCAGGAGAGTAGTTGTTTTTATTGAATATACCACACAATAACTTGTTCTGAATTATTCTTGAAAGATAATGCATGATCTCAATATCAGGACTAGTAATTGCTCGAAACATTGTTCCATGTTGTTCATGATTTTTCCATACCCTGTATCTGTTTGTCATACAACTGACAAACTATTCATTTCAGATTGAAAAACAGCAATGCAGATGATTTCTCAGATTCGCCTGCTGATGACTCAGATCGAGATCCCGATTATGAGCCTGAGAAGAAGAGAAGGAAGTATACACCTAGATATTTCATGAACAGTGGTGATACTTCTGATAGCCATAGGGAGCCTGTGCACGGCTCAATTACGAAAGAGTTGAGATTGATCGATTATAAAGAGGGGTCAGAAGTTTTTCCCAACATGCCCATTTGGGAGTCTCAAGGATTATCTGTAGACGAAATGCAGACTGCTATTGAGACATCAAATCCAATCCTTTTTGGTCAAAAGCAAACTCCAACAAATGCATCCGAGGACAAAATGTATTTTCAACTTGAAGCAATTGACAATAACCATCCTATTGTTCAACCTTCAATTAGCGAGATAAACTCGTATGTGCCGAACCCGGTTCAGAACGGATCGAATACGGATGGAATGATGAGTATATTAACGGAGACAATCGAAAAAACTCAAAATGATGATCAAGATTTTTTCCTAGAGGAGCAATCAGAGATATCACAAAGTCCAATCGAGCATCACATACTCAATTCAGAAGAGATTGATGATATTCCTCAGGTCGCAGCACCTGAACAGGTATCTAGAAACTCCTTAGGAAAAAATCCGAAGAAACGGAGTTCAGATAAATCAGCGCCAACTGAAAAACTCAAACTTTTGCCTCCATGTCAAAACAATTGTAGGCAAAAATGTTTCGAAAGACTGAGTTCAGAACAACGAAATACAATTTTTGATTACTTCAGGAGGCTCGACTTTGGTCAGAGGCAATTATTCCTTCATAAATATATAATTAAGAAGCCTGTGAAATATCGGAAAGTTGATGCTGAAAGGAATAAGAATTATTCAATTATTTACAATCTACCAGTTATCAGGAAATCGTCTTCAGTAACAACCCAAGAAGACCAACAACATTTCGTAGGTAATAATATTGCGTTCATTTCTACCTCTGAGCAAGATGAATCGGTTATCATATCAGATGAGATCCTAACTGAGCCAAATGAGTTATTGGATAAAACGAATGGAGTCTCTGCCAAACCGAATGAAAAACACACGGATATAAAAGTGAATGAACATGAACATAATATGGTTCCTGTTTGCAAACCCATGTTCATCCATACCATTGGTTTTAAGTCAGATGGCTTGATCACCAATTTTCTCAAGCGTACTTCCAATGACCTTCCTTGCCTGGAAGATCGAAGAGGTAAGGTAAACGCAGTGAAAATGAAAGAAATTGGCGAACAAAATTACAACACTGTTAAGAAACACATTGAATCGTTTCACCCGCAAGTATCACACTATAAAACAGAGCATGCTCCCAATAGGCGTTATTTACCATGTGATATCACCATACACCAAATGTATAGAGATTTTATTTCCAAATATAAAAACTTGAGCTATGAAACTTATCGAAAGATATTCGACAGAGAAAATATTGGATTTTCATCACCATCTCAAGACGACTGCAGTGTATGTTCTGTTTTCAAACAGCATTCACATCCTGAAAAACCAACGGAACCTGAGATACCATCGAATGATCACAATATTATATCACCAACTCCGCCAGAAATCCCAACAAAAATGCCAAGTAGTTCTGAAATCATCGAACCTGACGGAACATGTTCAATTTGTGATAAATTCCAAATACACAAACGGAGATATACAATAGCACGTCAAAAGTACAATGAAGACGCCACTAAAAAATGGGACCACGATCAAGAACTATATACTGCCGATATGCAAAAAGTGCTCATTTTGCCAAAAATGACGATAAAAAATGCTTTTTTCGTTAGCAGACTTGTTGTGTTTCACGAAACATTTGCAAACTTGAAAGTGGGTGGCCGAAATAAATGTGTCCTATGGCACGAAGCTATAAGAGGAAGAAATGGCCCAGATGTTGTTTCTGCTTACTACAACGCATTGATCAGACTAGACGATGAAACGAAACACGTTACATTCTGGACAGATAATTGCACGGCCCAGAATAAGAATTGGGTTTTATTTACTGCTTGTTTAATTTTTGTTAATGAGGACTGGGGTCCCGAAAGCATCACATTTAAATACTTCGAACCTGGACATAGCTTCATGAAAGCAGATTCAATACATGGCCAAATCGGAAAGAAATGGAAAAGGACTCCAGAAGTCTTGGACTATGAAGATTTGGAGAGATTGATAAAATCGTCGAATAAATTGAATACGATAATAAGTTTACGCGCTGAAGACTTCAAAGTATTTGCCAGTGGGTGCACTCAGCGGAACAAGGGTTCCCCAATACCAAAGCTGGGGGATATCAAATCTGTGCAATTTAGAAAGGGATCAAGAAAAATGTTTTTTAAACAAGAATTGGAAGATGATGAATTCTCAGAAGCATCGATCCTGAAACCGAAATTCAAATTGGAGTTACCAGAAACGGTCAGGTCTGACAGAGGAATTAATACCAAAAAGAAGGATATCATTGTGAGAGATCTATTACCGCACATGCCTCCCAGGAAGCAGATATTTTGGATGAATTTACCAAGTTCTGATGATCTAGAGGACTTGGGTAAACACATCGAATAATAACTCCTGATTTGCAAGAGTTTCAATATTTTGAATTATTTGTTTCACTCCACCTTAGGTTCGATTGAGATTACATAACTGGTATAATGAGTTTATGTTAGTTTGTTTCGAGAATAAACATTATTTTTCATTTTCCTAGATGTTTCATTACACAATACAGAGGTGACATTCAACATAAATGATATTCAAAGTGGCTCAGTTGGGAAGGCTGGGCATACATATATACCAATACGAGTAATATATTGGCTACTGGCAACTCTCTCTTTCTAGTTCAATACTCTACTTTTCCACAGTATATACATCGCATTCGATTTTCAAATAAATAATAAAAAACTTCTTCATAAACCAAAAATTTCCGGAAATAATAATATAATCTAATAGCTCGACGATACAATTCACAAGTTACTCACCTCTCACTTCTATCGGTAGTCTTCAAAGACTGCCTCGCATATATTTTTTTATATCAGATCATATGATTTTTGGGTTACAGCTTTTCAAATTTTTCGAATTATCCCCCTATGAGACGACATACTAACATTCCGTATCATTTCTCTATCCATTAAATCTACTAACTACGTTTCTGAGCTGCAAAGTTGAGTGACATTATCAGTATATCGAGTTACTGAGTTCTACTCTCGAGAACTGTGCAGTGATTTCGTAATATGTAAGTCCAAATTGATAGAGAACACAGTTTATATCAACAGTACATGTATGTATTCATAACCATAACCGACATGAAATAAGAACATTCCATCTGTCCAAATCTAGGATTCCTAGTTAGATAATCAACGAAGATATAGCCAAATGTTTTTCAAAAATTTCATAATGCTCTAGCGAAAAGTTGCGAAATTAGAGTTACTATGTTTAACGATTGTACGGGGTAGGCATCTGTACGTATATAATCAAATGATTTATGTGAACGCAATTGTCTAATCAGTCCGATTATTCATCAACAGGAGTGATGGACATTCCTCATATGGCGGTACATGTCAGTTCTCGTCAAGAATTTCTCACATTTCTCACACAATAGCTGATGTCTATTATAGGGAAATTTTCTCTTTTTAAAACTTTCCCAGGTGTTATTGATGTTGAATGGAATCCGCTCTCCACTATTAAGGCATTCTATTATAAAACAATCATTATAAAGTTCTCGTACAGTACACAGCTGATGACAGCGCTCACAAATATTAGCCATGCCTACTCTATAAGACAGTTGGATGTGGAATGATCTACTGGATAGTGAAATAAGTAATAATGATGACAGTGTCGATGATATAATGATCATGATATTAGTTTCGAGTAGCATTTTTACTATTTTTACTAACGTAGATATTTCCGTATACCTATCTCAGTTATTTTCCCGTTTCGAATTATTATTTCGAACGATTCATGAAACAGATGAGTTAATTAATTAGTCTAGTCGAGTCATTTTTTGAAATATCAAAAATATTATAAGGTCACACTACTTCTCATCCGCCAATTCGCGTCACTGCATGCAGGTGGCGCTGCGGAGACTGCCTACATTTCGCCGCTGAACGTCTGTCGGAATCCTATAAATACTGTGACCTTGTGAAACATAAATTAATCCAACTCGGATGAAATCTCATCAGTAAGTAGTTTACTCAACTATTATTTTATATCGATCTAAGATGATGATTGGGTGATACAACACAAACACACATAGTTAATTTGAACGATACAGGAGCCACGTAGAGTGATTATCTCCGGTGGATCTGACACTGTTTATAGTGTGAAATCTACTCTGTACTATTATATTCCCAACTCTCAACTTTCGTGACCATGTAATATTCGGTTATTGCATTTCACTCTGAAGTGATATTGACACTAGCTTGGGTCTTGAGTAGGATGTTCACTATAGATATTGTTTCTTTCAACTCTCTGTGTTTATTCAATATATTTAGAGAAATAAATAGAGTGAGTACACTAATTGAAAAAATTACACTTTAATATACTAGACTATAGAGTTGAACCATTTACTCAAAAGCTTAGTGGTCCTCCTGGGAACGGGTGTTCACTCTATTTTTTTTTACTGTGTATCTGTCTACAAATATAAGAACATAGAAAGAATCTGTGATCTGCGTATGCGTTTCAATGTGTTTGAGTGCGCATGCGTGGACAAGGATAGATCCGGAATGAAAGGGTGATATGCGCATGCGTCTCAGGAGGGAGAATGCTCAATCTTGGTTGGAAATCTTTCAATCTATCGCATTCCATCACTGACCCCGCTCGAGTGTAGACGTATTTTTACGTATCAATTAGAGTTGTTATTTTTCCAGTTGTTGAAAATGTCGCTGTTTGCTGATTTGGTGAAGTACATCGCTTCTATATTGGGCTTCGTAACATCAAACAATGATGAGCAAGAGATGAGAAAAGGTCTTCGCGAATGCTATCTTGGGATTAAGAGGATTAATGAGGCTTTGAAGAATTCAACGACTTCCGGTGAAAAGCAACATCTTGAAGCCTGCCTACGTAATCTGAAATCGTTTCAAAACCAGTTTAAAGCGCTCCAAAAGAAGGAAGGCGGACTTACATCTAGAAAGGAAACTGCACGGGATAGAGTTCGCTGGGAAGATTCTCTATCGGCTTTTAATAGCAGGATTCGCACTGGAGTAATCTCGAACTTGAGACATAAGGATCCTGCAGCCTTTTTGACCGATTGCAGAGCTCTTTTCCGGTTACGTATTCAGAATGCTCTCAAGAAAGATGCTGCAATCAAGGTGAATACTGTTTTCTGCGGGGAGTTTGAGCTTGTGCAGGGAGATAGTGTACTTAGAGAGTACAAGTACTTTACAACATCAAACTCACCCATCTACAAAGATACCGATTTAAATGTATGGTTCGAGGAAAAAGTTACCGCACCAATTTTGACAGAGTTGGAGGAATTCCAAGAGCGTGACAGCGGATGGGCGCTAAAAACTATCATCAATCTAGGGGTGAACATCAACAAGTTTACTCCTCAACTTGGATCTTCATATATCGAGTTGCCTCCTCAGATAAAGCGGAAGCGAGCTTGCGTCAACGTGAAAAATGAAGATGATTTATGCTTTATTTGGGCGATAACTTCTGCATTGTATCCAGTCGATGTACATAGCGATATAACTTCTTCATACCCCCATCCGTCAACAGTTCTTAACCGCAAGGGCATTCAGTTTCCGATGACGGTCAATCAGATTCCTCGGTTCGAGAAGCAGAATGGGGTATCGGTCAATGTATATATCCTACAAAAGGCATCGAAAAATTTGCAGACTCTTCCAACATACTTGACAAAGAATAAGAAAGACAGACACATCAATCTCCTACTTGTCCAAGATCAATACTTTGATGAGAAAGATGCTTGCGAAACATCCCCCGCCAAGTATCATTATGTGTGGGTGAAGGATCTGTCCAGACTGCTATCTTCTCAGCTGAGCGATCATAATGGACGTAAATTCTTCTGCGACCGCTGTCTTCATTATTTCTATTCTGAAGATAAGCTCAATAAACATGTCGAGAATTGTGTGAAACTGAATGAGACTGCAATCCGAATGCCTGAGGAGGGGAAAACATTCTGAAATTTAAAAATCATAAAAACAAGGAGAAGGCCCCATTCATAGTTTATGCTGATTTGGAGTCTGTTTTGGAGAATACTGGAGATCCGGAGAAGCCTCAGCACCACGTTCCAGCTGCCGTCGGATACTTTATGGAATGCTCTTACGACGATTCCCTCTCCTTTTATCGTTCGTACCGAGGGCAGGACTGTATGGCGTGGTTCGCTGATGAGCTCAACCAGTTGGCCGAGGATATGTCTACAGTATTTTTATGTCCATATAACATCACTATGTCTACTGAGCAGGAAGTTGAGTTTCAAAGAGCTGCACATTGCCATATTTGCGAACAGCCTTTTGGACCTACCGATAAGAAAGTTCGTGACCATACGCATCTCATTCCGGAAAACAACTACAGAGGTCCTGCGCATGAAAGCTGCAACGTTCGATACCAGGACAGCTATGTGGTGCCAGTTGTGTTTCACAATCTGAGTTATGATTTATGATGCAAATTTCATTATCGAAGATATAGCATCCAAAATGAAGGGCAAAATCGATTCATTACCAATCACTAAAGAGAAATATATATCCTTTACGAAACATGTTGATGATACTTCCATTCAGTTTCGTTTCATTGACTCATTCCGCTTCATGAACTCTTCTCTAGATATGTTGGCATCATATCTGAAGGAATTTCCAAATTTAAAATCACAATTTTCTAATATTTCCAATGATCAGTTTCAGTTGTTAACTGAAAAAGGAGTGATGCCCTACGATTATTTCGACTCATTCGAAAGATTCGATGAAACTCAGCTTCCTCCAATAGAGTCATTTTACAGTAAATTGTATGACAAGCCATGCCCCCGTAGACACTACCTTCACGCCAAGCTGGTATGGTCGAAATTTGGCTGTAAAGACTTGGGTCAATATGTTGACCTCTACATGAAAACGAACATTATGCTGTTAGCCGATGTTTTTGAGCAGTTTTGATCCAGCTGCCACAACACCTATGGTCTCGATCCTGCTCATTATTTCACACTACCAGGGTTCACATGGGACGCCATGCTGAAACATACTAAGCAGAAGTTGGAACTGCTTACCGATGTAGACATGTTCCTTTTCGTTGAACGAGGAATTCGTGGAGGTCTCAGTCAAATATGTTCTAAACGAAAAGCCAAAGCAAACAACAAGTATATGCCTAATTATAATTCATCAAAGTCAGACTCATATTTGATGTATTGTGATGTAAACAACCAATATGGTTGGGCAATGTCTCAGTCGTTACCATATGGAGGCTTTGAATGGACCGACACTAATATCGACGTCACAGCTATTCCTGATGATGCTGATAAAGGATGTATTTTGGAAGTCGACTTGGAGTATCCACAACGCCTCCATAATCTACATAAAGACATTCCTTTCTGCCCTGAACACATCAATCCGAAGACGATGAAG